AATATCATTAGCCATCAGATAAAAACAAATCAAAACTACAATGAGATTACATCTCTTCTAACTTTATCAAAACAAAACAAAAATACCAAATGTTATTGAGGATATGAAGAAGAAGAACTCTTTTTCACCATTGGTGGAAATGTAAATTAGTACAGCCATTCTGAAAAACAGCATGGACAGTCCTCAAAAAAAAAAAAAAAAGCCAAACTAAAAGTAGATTTACCACACAATCCAGCTATCCTATTTCTGGGTTTGTATCCAAAGAAAATGAAATTAGCATACCAAAGACATATCTGCACCTCCATGTTTATTACAGCACTATTCATGATAGCTAAGTTATAGAATCAGTATAGTGCCCATCAAAGATAAATAGATAAAGAAAATGTAGTATATAGACACAGGGAGTGTTATCCAGCCTGTGATATGCAGCTAAAAGGATGGAATTGGAGCATAATATGTTAGGCAAAATAAGCTAGACACAGAAAGACAAATGCCATGTTCTTTCTCATATGTGGGAGTAAATAAATGTTGACCTGAATGTAGAATAGTGATTATTAAAGATTAGGGAGGGTGTGTTGGAGGGGTGAAGAGAAGTTTGACTTGATCTTCAGTATATGCATATCTGGAAATAACACACTGAATCCCACTAATATATATAACTAATAAGTATTAATCAAAACTATAAAAACCATCTATGCACATTTACTTTATGATTAGCACTGGGCTGGATGTGATTATTTGGCACTAGCCCTGGTCTGTAAGAGATTTATAATAAACTGTGAGACAGGGCAACAGGTCAGGCAGACAATGTGGAAGATGTTTTCCATGACATCACTGCACCCTTGGCCCACACACATGCACATCCTCAGAGTGGTCCTCTCTAAACCACTTTGGAGAGAAGAAAGGAGATCTTTCAGACTTGTAAGTATGTTCTTGTGGCAGGAGAGGCCAGGTTTTCTTGGAGCAAGAGTTTGTTTGGGATGTGGGTGACCATGAGTTTGCTGGGTAGATGGAAGATTCTGTGGTGGGCACTGTGCTGTGCTGTTGTTTACAGTCCTTCATAGGAGTGGAATGGAAGCAGAAGGTGACAGATCCACGGATTATATCCAGCTGTACACAGGGCTGAGTGCAGAGATAACCCAAGCTCAGGCTCAGCATCTGGAGGGTTCCACTGCAGCCAGGATGGCAGGAGCACAGTGGGCCACAGGAAAACAACCACTCTGTAGAAGGGAGGGCCAGAGGCCACCAGTTCCTGGTGCACAAACTCTGGTAGCATGAGAGGTCACGCCTCAACAGCAGCACAGAAGCGTACTGTGACTATTAATCCTGATATGTCAACTTCATTAGATTATTAAATGTTTATCAAATTAGTAAAGCACATTTGTGGATGGGTGGAGGTAGATCATGAAGGCATGGCCTTGGGTACTATTTCTGGTCCCTCCCTGTTCCTCTCTGGCACTGTTCCTCTGCTCTGCTTCCAGGCTGCCCTGAATTAAGCATTTTTGCTCCACTCTGCCATTTCAGATGTTTCTGCCTTGGAGTCAGCCAACCATGCTCTCAATTCCTTGAAACCATGAGTGAAATAAACCTTTCCACCTTAATAAGTGTTGGGTATTATGTTCTACCAACATGAAAATTGGTTAATACACTGCCCAGAGCAATAGTTTCCCTTTCCAGGATTCCCCAGTGACCTAGCTCTGTACCCTAGTGCCACCTGAGGCAAAATATTTGGCCAGTCTTGAAATACCTCTTCCCTTCAATCTTCTATTCATTCACTCATTCCTCAAATATTTATTGAGCTTCCACCAGATACTAGACACTGTCTTAAATGTTGGTGTGGTAGTGAACAAAACAGAAAAAAGAATGATCCATTAGTCATGGAGCTTCAATCCTATAGCATAAAAATAGACAACCTAAAGTTAAAAGGTATGACATACAGCACATTAGGTTATAGTGTCACAGAGATCAAATAACACATAGGGAGTGTTGGAGGTAATGATATCTGTTGTAAGTGGCGTAGTTTGGGAACCCCTCATCTGGAAGATGGTCATTTTGATTTTGGAAAAGTGTCAGAAGTTGCATGATGCTGAATCTGGTGAATAAGGTGGATGAGGACACATCATAAGTTTCTTTTTTTACAAGACTGTTCTGTCGGAAGGCACTCAGCAGCAGCATTCACCAATTTTGATCACTCTCATAAAAACACTAACAAAACAGCATCTAGCAAAAGTGGACAACAAAAGATGGACAGTGATCCTTCCCAACAGAATGAACATCTATAAGAAGAGAAAATGACAGGGCCCAGGAGAGAGAGATCATATGCAATTAAGGACCAGCGTGAAGCCAGTGTGGCTGAGCAGAGTGGGAATGGGAGGAGTAGAAGGCATTGAGAGCAGAGAAGCAAGTAGTAGTGGTAGAGAGTGGTCATGTGGGATGTTGTGAGGTGTGGGCTTACTCTGAGGGAGATAAGGATCCCTGGAGGGACCCTTGATGAATCTTTCTGGACAGGAATGATGGTGGTGCCGAGGAATAAGGGAGATGTCCCTGCTGAGGTAGAGTCTGGGTCTACCTCACTCTCCATGATGTATCTGGGACCTGACCAGAGTGATTCCAGCTCCACCCTCCATCCCTGCTCAAGGATCTCTCCTCTCATGCCCCAACGGCCCTGTTCAGCACTTTCTGGGCCCACCTGCTTCAAAATCAGAGGAAGTTGTTATAAGTGCAGACTTTGGGGTGACACAGACCTACTTGGTTCAGGAATTTAAGGATGCTCTAAGCTCCCAAGAAAGTTCTCAGACCCATAATGAATGAGCAGGGGGCAAGGCACTTGCACAGCGAATGGAGGTATCAGCCATACTCCTAGCACCAAACTCAAGGGCCCCCACAGGATTCAATCTGCAGCCCCTTCTGGGAGCCAGAGAAAACCGAAAATCTCAGAGAATGCTGGGTAATTGAGTCCCACCCTTCTGAGTTCACCCCTGGGCAGCCTTCCCCAAGTTCAGCTCATTCACATTGGGAGCTCTTTTGGTCCATACAGGAAAAACAGGTTCGTTTCTCTTGCCCCACAAAGCCTGGGGATGCTGCTTATTCTTTCTGTCATAAGTGTCACTAGTTTCCTCACTCCCCAAGCAAAATGAAAACCCAAAAAGTTAAAAACTATTTGATTTCTTCAAAGCCTGGGCCAGGACCATGTGGTCCTTTAGTTCACTGAATTTTCCTGTAAAGCCAGTAAGACCCAGACCCTCTCCCAGACTGAGCATAGTATTTCCAGGAACAATTCCCTTATTGTTTTTTTGCCTCTTTTGCAATACTAGGGATTGAACTCAGGGTCTTGCATATGACAGGCAGGTTCTCTGCCACTAAGATATATCCCCACCCTAATCCTCCTTTTTTTGAAACAAGGTCTTGCTAAATTGTCCAGAACTTGCAGTCCTCCTCCCTCAGTTTCCTGAGTAGCTGTGCTTACAAGTATGAGCCACCACATGTGGTTGGCAATTTCCTTATTTACTAGTACCTCTGGTAACCTCAGAATTCATATAATTGGTACAGCAGGAAGGTGCAACTTTACTCTGAAGATTCAATTGGCAAAAGATTTGGCTCAGTTATTTGTCCTTGGGTGGCAAATATTATTTCTGTTTCCCTGAAACTATGTGGCTTGTCCCAAGGGTTTGCACCTGTGGAGATGGAGCTAGTAGTAGTCAAGCCCACATCTGTCTGATGCAGAATCTCATGCTCTTTTAACCTTCCAGAATGGTTGTTACTTACACTGTCTATATCATAGTTTTCTTATCTGGTAAAGGAGATTAGTAAATTCCTTCTAAGGCTTTTGGTAGAATTACACGAACTACTCCAGTGAATACCCTTGCACAGGGCTGTACAAAGAAATATAACCTCCCTCTCTCAACTTGTGAAGTTTTAAGCCAAATTCTTTTAATTAGGTCTTTGTATGGAGCCCTGGAACCTCATCTCTTCCTATCCTCCTTGGATGGAGTTTAATTATTAAAAATATTTTGCATGATGCACAGGCACCATTTAATCAAAATGAACAACTGCTAACTGCCTCAACAGGGCCACAGGAGGCCACCCAATATCAGTAATTTACTCAGCCCTTAGCCTTTCTTGGGGTAAGGGGAATCCAGGAATCCTAGCGGAGGAGTCAGGTTGATCGGGTGATTTGGGAGCAAGCACATTGGGTGTTCAAGATAGACATACGAGGTGTCATCAAAATATATGGTTAATGTTTAAATTAAAAATTTTATTACAGTAAAAGACACATTGCCATTAATCCTCCTCAAAATACCTCCTCACTTCAAACACACTTATTCCATTGTTCTTGCCCCAAAGACCTCTTTTTTTTTTTTTTTTGGTACCGCAGATCAAACTCGGGACCTTGCCTCTGCTAGGCAGGCAGCAGAACCACTGAGCTAATGCCCGGCCCTCCAAAGACCTCTTTTGTGAGTGTATTTACCAAGAATGATAAAAAAATGGTGAATGCTGCTGCTGAGTGCCATCCAAGTCATCCCCCATATTCACTGCATCTGGCACCATGAAACTTCTGACTCTTCCACACAGTCAAAATGCCAATGAGAGAGAAATGTTTTGAATAGATTCAGGACACCATGGCAGCCAAAATAGCACAACTAAAAAGACACTCACAAAAGATGACTTCCAGAGATGCTTCAGAAAGAGGCAAGAATAATGGGTAAGTGTGTTCAAAGCAGGAGGAAGTATTTTCTGGAGGATTAATTGCAGTGTGTCTTTAACTGTAATAAATTAAAACAGTTCTTTTAAACAGTCACCATGTGTCCCAATCCTACTTTGTTCATTTGCCAGGTGGTAGAGGAGTGTTTCTGGTACAACAAACAGTAGGGAGAAACCTATTTCCTTGGGGGAAAAGAAGGCCATCACCAAGTTTTCCATCACAGAGTACCCAGATGCAGGTTGCTTGTCATTCTAAGGTTCCTCCCCCCCACCACGTAAATCCCTGGTCCCCACTCTACCTGGATCACCCTTCTCTCCACGAGGGCCCTCTCTCCTATCCTGGCCATCATGGCCAGGGAAGCCATTTTCTGTGGGGCTGCATACAACCAGGGTGCAGGCGTTGGCCAATGTTGTCTGCTGGTAACTCGTCATTCCGGCTCCTAGGTAACTGGGGGGCTGTGTGAGCAGGAACAACATGGAAAGAAGGGGAAGCATCATGGCCTGGGGAGATGGATAGAGAAAGGACATGATGTTGGTTCCAGGACATAGGGTAGGGCTTGACCTAGCTTGTTTTAATCAAAAGTCTCCTTCTCTACTTCCCTCTTCCTGCTGTGAGGCCCAGAGCAGCAAGACCCCAAAAGCAATTTAGGGAGATGAGCACATAGCCTGGTCTTGGGGGGTATGAATTACCCTATTTGAACAGCAACATGGGTCCCTGGGCACAGCAGTGCCCATCTGCTCTCAGTAGCCCATGAGAACTATGGCTGAGGTGTAGCGTTCTCACTAAGGCACCCATCACATCAGGAAGCATTCACTTAGCATCTCCGGGCAGAACCCTTTCCCTTTCTGGGCCTCCTTCTCCCTGCCCATGCCACTGAGACGCCATTGGCAGAGAAGACCAGGCAAATGTGTTTCCTCTTCCTTGCTGCCATGAGTGGGTTAGACTGGCAGTCCTCATGCTGGTCTGAAAATGAGCCTGAGTCCTGACTGCTTTGTGATGTCTGTCCCTAGCTCCAGCTGGGAGTGTGGCTATTTGTATGCCAAGCAATTTATCATTCCTGGACCAGGCACTGACTCCATGGAGAAAGTGCCAGAAGAAGCCCAGGTGAGAAGTTTCAGAGATACTAAATTAGCAGCTGGAGTGACCCAAAGACACCTAGAGGTCTGCCCAGACCATGTGAGAAGGCATAAAGGAGGGGGTTCTTGGGGAAGAGGACATGCCAGGTGGGTGGGGTCACAAGACAGGCTGGTTTGGGGGTAAGCAAGAGAAACTATCCATAGGGCATCCAGGGCAGGGTGGTGCGGGAGCTGGGTCAACCGTACATTGAGCATCTTGCTAGATTTTCATCACTGGGACATCACCTGAGATAAACCAACTTAAAAGAAGGAAAAGTTTATTTTGGCTCATGGTTTCAGACCATGGCTACCTGGGCCAGGGGCAACACAGTTCATCATGGCAGAAGCACATGGCAGAGGCCTCCTCATCTTGTAGCAGCAAGGAAACAAAGAGAGAGAGAAAAGACTGGGGTTCCAATATCCCCTTCAAAGGAGTGGCCCCAAAGACCCAACTTCCTTCCACTGGGCCACCTCCCAATAGCACTACATGCTGGGGACAAAGCTTTTAACACATGAGCCTTGGGGGACAGTTAAGATTTACACAACAACGACATCTTTCAAAGAAGAAACTGTGAAGTTACCAGACTAGAAAGACCCAGCGGGAGCCACAGAAGCACTGAAACCAGATCGCCCTGTGCAAAGATGAAGTGGTTCAGCAGGCTGACTGGGGTTGTGGAGGACAGGGGCTTCTGGCCAGAGAAATGCCTCCTTCTCTAGTTGCTGGAGATTCTGAGCTGTAGGAAACACTTATTTTTCACTGATTTCTTTCCATTTTTAATTTACAACTTCCTTGGATATACTGAGGGTCTCTAGAAATACCTGGATGAGCTCCCAGGCCAGTAGCAGCTCTTTCATTGCCCTTGTTCCAGCAGAGACTTAGTTCTGAGCACTGGAGGCCAGACCCAGGCCAGAGCAGGGCCTATCCCTTGGCCTGCAGCTGTCTCAACTCTGGGTCCCTTTGATTCTGAGAATTAAGAAAAGACCATAGGCATTCTGGCCACAAGCTCAAGCTAGCACAGAAGGCATCAACACCCATACACCGTAGCATGAAGCATCTTTGCAGAGTAGACTCATAGTTTTCCAGACCTGAGATTCCAAAGAGGGGCCTTAGCTGGAGCAGCAGATAAAGCAGTGCTCAACTGCTGTCAGAGGAAGAGTTTAATTAAAAGAGCAATTCTTCTGAACATGCATTGGAAATTGAGAGATAAATCCAGGGAGCACATTTTAAAAGTAAAGACTTGAGGTCATGAGAGAAATAGGTTTATCAGTGTTTCACAGTTTATTGGTACCAGGATGGGTTTAGAACCCAGATCTGAGAATGCCTTGTCTGTTTCTCCCTCACTGTCCTTTCTGAAGAAATTGGGCATAGAGTAGGAGTCAAGACAGGAGTTGAAAACGTGTTTCCACCTGGTATTTCCACACAATGCCTTCTGGGGTCTCAGGGGTGTCACAACACATTCATCCACTCTACCCCGACTCAGGAAGCAAATCTGAACCACAGAAGCTGAATGAGGGGCAGAAGAGCATCTTCTTACCCCACCGTGATCCCCACCTCCCATACTCATGACTCCTGCACCAGAGCCTAGGACAAGAACCCAGACCCACCCTCTTTAACAGGAGTAGGATAAACAGCCCAGCTGGCAGGGGATAGGGGGCATTCACAGAACAGGGGGAAAACAGAATGAGGCATGGACAGAGACACTCACAGGTTGCTTCCTCTCCAGAAGTTCCAGGCAAATGAATCTTGGCTTAGCAGGCACCTGATATTTATGTCTGCCCTGTAACCTGAGCCAGCCAGCCCCAGTTTCCAGAGAATGCCTTTGAAGACGCGGGACAATTTTCTTCCTTGTTGACTCACTCACTCTTCTCCTACCTGCCAACTGGACAACTGCCACTGCCATGCATGGTTGCCTGTCACACTATGCTTACCCGTCACTTTAGAGTTCACAGAGCACTCTTGGTCCAAGGTTGCATCTGCACCTTCCCTGCCGCCCTGTGAGTTAAGCAGCATCACCAGTGTCTGTGTTTTCTAAATGTCCAGGGATCTGGGACCAGAGACCAGGACATTGCACAATGGCCTATGATTGCAAAAACAACTCACATCTGCATATCTCAAGAGCTAGGACCTTACTGTGTCCACTTGTCTTTTCTCTTCATCTCAACAGCAACTGCCCAGATATTGTGAAAGAGCCACTTGTTGTATTCAGGCAGGGGTGGGGGAGGGTAAGGGGCAGCATAGGCAGCAACTGGTGGGGGCAGTGGCTCGGGGAGCTGCTCCAGGAAGTAGCCATTCTTTTGCATCCTGCTCTAGGATTCAGAGGACCCTTCACTTGCCTTTTGTAGACTGGACTTCCCTTAGCAGTCCTAGGCTTTGCCTTGTTCAAGCCTAGTCTCTCCATCGTCTTAGCTGGAGCTTGCCTTCCACATTGACCTAGTTAGAACCCGTGAGCTCTTGATACTACCCTGAAGCCACCCCTTTACTTTTCAATGCCTGTTTGGCATTTGTCCATCCCACTGTCATTGCAATCATCTTTGCTGCTTCTAGATTCTTTGCCTAGCTCCACATAGTGGCAAACCCATATCTCCAACTCTCCCCTTGGGCTACCTCATTGGTGGTGCTGACTTGCTCCTAGCTTTCAACACTGCTCATCACACCTTCTTGCATATTATAGAAGCGATAATGGCAAATCTCCCCACTTGGCAGGGAAAGGTCTATTTTTTCTATTGCAATTTTTTGAAGCAGGATTCCATAGCAACGTCACTCCAGTTTTGCTACTAGAGCTGTTTTATTATTAACACATAGCTGTCCTCACCCTAGGATATTCGTATGTCTTATTGAGCTATGGATCAGCATGGAAGCTGCCTTGAGCTATTTCTCACTCTCCCCACAAAGCTAGCTGTCAGGCCTCATCCCGGTGGCTGGTCTAGCCTTTCTAATTTATAGTGATGTTTATTTCAGGAGCCTATATTTTGTCTCTCTTTTTTGATACCGAGGCTTGAACTCAGGACCTTGCCCTTGGGAGGCAAGTGTGGTGCCATTGAGCTAAATCTCTGGCCACCATTTTGTCTCTCTTCTTAAGCAGGCCTCTCATCCACCACCTCTTAGCTTGAGAAATAGGTTCTCACAATGCTCAGGAACCCCATTATAAAACAGATTGTGGTGTATGTTTATTCTAGCTTCACACTGTAGCACAGTCTAGTTTTATTTCTGATCCAATTTATTCACTAACTATGAAGACTACTGTTTTCCTCAGTTACACATATAGATGAGAAGAATCAGATTTTGAATGGCAATCACAGAAGCCATCAGCCACAGTGTCCCCGAACCACTCTCTCTTCCCAAGCCTTAGGATGACCACAGAGGCACTTTGGTAGCCAGCCAGACACTGTACTGAAACCTCATCAATATTTGCCACCTCTGGTGGATGTTATTAGTTGCACATAAGCACTCCCAACTTCACCTAACTTGCTCTTGTTTAATCTCGGTTTGTGGCTCCAAACTCTTGGCCCTGACTTCTGTACTTGCCTCCAGGTACCACAGTATTAGTGTTCCTACTTGTTCTTCCTTGATTTTTTTTATTTCTGGCCTGATTCCTTCATCTGGCCTTTAAGCTTCTCTGATTTTCTTAGAGAAATTCTGGTGTTTTAGTTACTTTTTTCTCATTGCTGAGACAAAATACCCGACAACCAATGTTAAAGGGGAAAAGGTTTATTTAGCTCACAGTCTGTAGAGGTTTCAGTCCACAATCAGTGGGCTCCAAGGCAGGGTGGCTTGGCAGAGGGGCGTCATAGAGGAGAACCAGTTCGTGGCAAGCAGAAGACAGCAAAAGCAAACAAGCAAAGGACCTTACTAGTGTCTTCCTGCCCTTTTTGTCTTATCCAAACTACTTAGGGTGGGTAGCACTCACACCCTTAATCCTAATGCTCTTGGGCCTAACATTACACCCTGAATCAATTCCAGTGTCACACACTATAGATTCAGCCACCTCTGAAAAAGTCCCACCTATGACCACATGAGGCTTTCGGGGACATCTTGACACAAGCCATAACATCTGGTCTCCATTCATAGTCTGAACAATAGAGCTGAAATCCAGTCCAATTTTTTGGCCAATTTTGAAATGAACCAGTACACCTTACCTGTGTTTTTAGTGACTGGGAAAGAAAGTCAAATATGATGTCTGGCATGATGGAAACTTGCCTCTTCTGGGTCTTGAAGATATCCTGATCTCTCATTCTGAAACCAATGACTCTGTTAACACTGATCCATTACATTTCACTTTCTTTAAATTCTTTGAACTGAATATTTGACGTTTCAATTTCTTATCCTCTTTCACACTCAAGATGATGACCATGTCACTCTATTTTCAATCATTCTATATGGTCTTCCTTTGTGAGTTTTATTTTATTTTTAAAATTCTTTTATTGGTACATTTTAGGTATACAATACATTTACATTTATCATTGGGTGCTTGTACTTGTACATGATGTATCTTAGTTCTTATTTTTTCCCCCATTACCTGTGTGCCCTTCACCCCCTCCACCCTTCCCTATTTATATAGATTTCATTTCCATTTTTTTTCTTTTCTCATCTTTCCTTTCCTTTCTTCCCTTTCCCCTTCCCCTCCCACCACCCCTCCACCTTTGGACCTTTTCTTATTTCAAATTATCAATTATTCATTTCAATCATTTTCATCCTTATTTACACTTTCAGTTTCTCACACCAGAGAAACTATTCGGTATTTACACATGTGTGTCTTATTTATTTCACTTAAGAGTATGGCCTCAATATGCATCCATTTAGCTATAAATGACTCTAGTTTCTCATTCTTTATGGCTGAGTAGTACTCCATTTTATAAAAAAACCCCATATCTTCTTTATTCACTTTCCAGTTGATGGGCACTTGGGCTGTTTCCAAACTTTAGCTATTACAAACCAGCGCAAGCTGTGAGTTTTATTTTCATTTTCACTCTCTGTCATCTCACCATAAGTTCTTTTTTAAAACTACTTTATTGATGGACATTTGACATATAAAAAAAGATGTACATATTTCATGTGTACAACTTGATGCTTGAAGATAAGCATACGCTTATTGAATCATCAATAAAATTAAGGCCATTAACATTCATCACTACCCCAAATTTCCTCCTACCCTCTTCAGTTATTTTTATTTTTGAAAAATTTGTGTGATAAGAACATGTGACATAAGATCTATCCTTTTAGCAAACTGTTGGGTGTGGAGACAGTAGACAACTGTTAAGTATAAGCCCTATGTTGTGTAACAGATCTCTACCTTATGCAAGGTATTATTTAATCTTGTATAACTAAAACTTTGTACTCTATAAACTATCACTTCCATTTATCCCCTCCTCCTATACCTGGTAACCACTATTCTAGTCTGCTTCTGAGTTTGAGCATTTCAGCTTCTTCATAAGAATGGGATCGTATAGTGTTTGTCCTTCTGTGTCTGGCCAATTTCACTTGGTATAATGTCCATCATGTTATAGGATTTTCTTAAAACAGAGTAATACTTCATTGTATAAAAAGGCCACAGTTTCTTCATCTCTTCATCTGCTGATGGACATTTAGGTTGCCTTCTTTTTTTTTCTTTAAAAAATCATTTTAATTAGTATGCACTCTTTTTTATATTTAAATTATCATAATTTTATTTACCAGTCAAGGTTTTTCTGTACATGAAATTTTACTAATTATAACTTTCTCCAACTCTCAGTTTTATGTTTATGCCTATTGCTAAATATAAATTTCTAGTAAGCCAAAGTTTTAGTTGTACTGATATTACTATTGATACCAGTAATACCCATTATGTGTACATTTTTTTTTAGTATATGTTTACAGTACATGCAGCTTACAATCATCGTGGGGAGTGGGTACATGTACATAATACAGCTTGGTTATTTTTTTAAATTCCCTTCCCATTTCCTCTGCCCCCTTCCCTTCTCCTCTAAATCGATTTTCCTCATTTTTTCTTATTGATATTATTACTCTTATCTCATGTTTATGACAAATAATATTACATTAATTGAGGGTATTAGGTTCCTGAGCATGACATACCTTTATTGTACTTATTTCTTCTTCCCCTCTTCCTTTCTCCTCACCCTCAGTCTCTTGGACCCCTTCTGGTTTGCAAGAGATCTATTCCCTTTTTCCTTCTATCCATCCTTTATGGTGCTCTTTGTATTTTGTCTTACCTATGAGAGATACTATATATTAATTAAGCTTGTGTGTCTGATTTAGTTCACTCAGTTATAGGAAAAGATTCCTTAAGTAGAATCACAACTGCACAAGAAATAACAACAAGAATCAACAAATGAGATTGTATCAAATTAAAAAGCTTCCACACAGTTAAGGAATAGATTGGTAAACTGAAGAGATAAGCTACAGAATAGGAAAAAAAAATTTGCCATCTAGTCTTCAGGGGACTAATATCTAAAAAATATAAAGAACTCGAAAAAGTTAGGCCATCTAAAATAAAAACAACCCAATCAAGAATGGGCAAGTGAAATGAATAGACACTTCTCAGAGGAAGAAATGCAAATGGCCAAATACATGAAAAAAATGTTTAACATCTCTGGTCATTGCAAAATTCAAATTAAAACAACACTAAGATTCCGTCTTACACCAGAAAAATGGCAATGATCAAGAAATCAAAAAATAACAAATACTGGCTGCAGTGAAAAAGAAATCTCCTACATTATTGGTAGGAATGTAAACTAGTACAACCATTATGGAAATCAGTAGGTTGTTTTCATGACCATGGCTCTTGTAAATACTGCTGCAATGATTGAAGGAATACAAGTTCTCTCTGGGAAACTAATTTAAGTTTTTTTGAGCATATACTCAGCAAAGGGGGTGATGG